TATATATATATGTCTACATACATACATGACGCTTTTCTTTTTTTGTTCTGAATTATGTTTTCCAAACACAGACGATATTTCTATTATAATTTCATTCCATATCCCTATCTTGCGATACTGCATGATTCAAGAAACAAAATATAACTGAAATAAGTAAATAAATATAAAGATACTTCTTACCCGTTTATCCCCACGACTAACAGTGCTGCGCTTAAGAAGATCAAACCAAAGCAGGATGAAATACTTGAACTACCTCCTGGTGAGTGGTTTCCTGCAAAACATATCAAAATTTAAAAACATTCTTATAAATATTCAATCAATTAAGGATATTTTGTGAATAATATTTCTCCAATGAACATTAAATATAATACACTTTGATGATATAAATGCAAAGCGATGGTTGTTAAAGCGTGTATGCGTGATTTGTTTTAGCTCAAAGCCACATAATAGACCATCTGCGTTCTGTCCACCGGAATTGAACTCCAGATTTTAGCATTGGAAATCAGTAAACTTATCGCTGATTCACCGGGGAACGTTCGTTAAAGGAAGATATTTATTGATTATATTTCATGCACAGTAGTTAATTTTCATTTATATTCCAGTGTAAAGCATAAACTTATCAAAAAATATATATTTTTAAACATATTTGTAAACACGCATTCAGACGTTTCTGCATATTCAGCTAAGTTTGCTTTCATTACAATTTTACGTTTACTTTGCTTTGCAATAATTTAGCTTCGGTTCGTTTCATAGACGTTATTCACTCTAGGGTATTCATTGTGTCCTTTGGTGCACCAATATTTCACTAGTTCACCTGTCTCTGTACCCTTGTCACTTTCATGTTGGTTGAATGATCTGCAATCCAATCCTTGATAGCTATTTGGATTTTTCTAAAGCTTAAAGTCCACAAAGAGGCCTGTAAGATAAATCAGAGCGCTTGAAACTGATATGTTTCTTCGCCCCACACTCGTTTTTTGTTTTTTTTTATGTTTGGCTTCTCAGAGGGTACGGTAAGATTTTGTCTGGCCGTTGAAGTGTTAAGTAGCTTGATCGGACTATACATATGTGGGGTGTAATAGTTTTCAGTTCACGGTTAGTTAATAAACATGCTTGGCTGCTGTATACAGTAGTCTTAGGGTGTCCGGGAAAGCCGTGAATGTAGCAGCCTGGAGACAGGATGTTGCTGGGAAGAACACGAAGGCTTGAAGTTACGGTATGTAGCTGATGATGGATAGATAGACGAAGTACAGGTTAATCGGAACCAAGGTTGCGAGGAAAATAACCAGTTCCTGGATAATGACTGATTTGAAAGAAATACTGAGTCATGCTAGAGATTTAATGCCTTACTGGATTTGAATTCGGGGCAAATTTTTATATAATTTATAGATTCGATTGAGTTATGAATTTTTTCATTGTATTGATAAAGGTTTATTTAGTTTTGATTCTTTTTCTTTTAAAGGTTTGGAAATATGCGAATGAAATAACAGTGGCACCCCTGATGGCAACACACGACAACTATGCTGTACTGTTTGTGAGAAATGACGCACTGAATTGTGAAATTTTCTTTATAATCATCCGGTAGATGTCTTTCCGTTTCTGAATTATAAAAGTGACGAAGCAGGAAACTGGTCAACATAAGTATGCTTTAAACTATGGCCGCGACTGTGTGTTATGTTATCTGGAAAATTTCCACCAAACATTTTTCAAATGTAATATATTTGAGTGTATTACTGTTATATTATTCTTTGTTCCGAAAATTTCACAAGGAACGTAATTCCATTGTTTCTAATTTTCTACTTCTTATCATTAATATTTTATCATGCTAAGTAAGCACGTTTATCTAAAGAAATTCAGAAACAAAATGCAAAACACTCGAGAACAAATAGGTCTGCCATCTGTTGACAAATGATGGAAACATTTATTTATCTTACGATAAATATAAAATTGGCGTTGTGTAAACACTATTTAGCTTGAGGCAAAATGTAGCTGCCCTAATTCGCGTTATTTAGGTTATGAATACGATGGTAGTTTTTTCCTGTTCCCGTTGAACGTTTCCTAAAATAGAAAACTAGATGTTTACTTTCAGTACAACATAACACATATATTTAATAAATCCGTTGTAAGTTCGTAAACTCTATGTAATATAAAGAAGAAAACAAACACCAATGGCTGTACTTCACTAGGAATGACAACGGGATGAATATCACAATCTTTACTGTAATCTTAAATTTTATAGGTTATGTGTTTTTCTTTTCTTTTGATAAAATGACGTCTGCTCTTTGTATTAACTATGTGATGCCGATGTATAAAGTGAATATTTTGTTTTTTTCCTCCAGTGTTTTATCTCCAAATTCATTACATGTTAGTGCCTAGCGGATTCGTTTTCTTAGCCGAGTTGTCGGAAATTGAATTCCACAGAAAGTGCAATAGCGAAAGAACTGCAAGTGGATTACCCTAGCGGAAAACTAACCACGTCTCATTTCCTTCGGATGCGCTTGACAACAATAAAGCGTTGAAAATGCATTTTGTTATATTTTTCAGAGTGACTTTGAGGCCACTTAGTTTTATAACTAAATTTAGCACTAAGGTTTTCCTTATTGTGCTGAAGTAGAAGAATCCTACCTTTTATTTAACTCGGTGTCGTGAGTCCCAACTAGTAATATGCAACAAAGAGACTTTCGTAACATGAATAACAAAAGTTTAAAATACTTCATTCTCTTCAGTTTGTTTGCTGAATTTCGAGGGTTATCTGCGCTAGACGTTCCTAATTTTGAAGTGATAGACTATAGGGAAGGTGTCTAGTCAACGACACCCACCGACAACTCTTTATCAACAAATATTTGGATTGAACGTCACATTATAACGCTCCCATGGCTGAAAGAACTAGTGTGCTCACATGGGGTTTCAATCCCGCGACCTGCAACTTGTGAGTCGAGCGACCTAACCACCAGGCCAAGCTAGGTCTCCACTCTGCTCAGATAACGAACGCAATGTAGACTTTCTTTAAATATTTTAGGACTCACAGGGCTAGCTTGTGGCTAAATAATGGCAATATAAACAATGAAAGAAACTGGAAAACAAAATAAATGAATTACCTTTATAGAATTAAGAGCTTGCATGACACTTCTGAAAATAAATCTCTTCATCTACGTTATTTGAAAAAGGAATAGAATATATTTACCCGGGAAAGTATCCGTTGTGTAAGTACGTTAATTGCTTTTTTTAAAGTTAATGTCTTTTAAATATAGCACTCTCTTACAGTCACTCAACAATTTCTATACATATTTATTTGGAAGATACAGGAAACTGTTTTCTATAGTCGAATGAATAAAGACTTGAGCATAAACCGAATTAGTTACGATCTCTAGCTTGGAAAATTCGCAGTCTTCAGTACAACATATAATTTAAAGTTATATATACAAAACATAGAGTGTTTATGATAGAAAAACGTAGTCGACGAACGAAATCGTTATCGAGGGCGTGCTCATTAATGAACAAGACTCGTTTCCTCCGCTAGCTCTGTGACCGTTTTTTCTTTTATTATTCAAAGACTGTCAAAATCAGTTGACAGAGCCATTAGTTTTCTCTCAGAATCTGGAATTATCTGGATGAGTATAATGATACGGGAGATTCTGGAATAGTTAAATGGGAAAGAAAAGATAAACTTTCAGGATATACAAGTTCGTTATAAACTTGAATGTACGGTGAAAACAAAGTTGAAAACAGAATTGGAACTTTCACTACAGCTTAAAAAAAAGGTGAAACATTAATTAAATTAAAACGCGTTTATTGACGAATATGAAAACAACGTTTCGGGCAACGTTATTATCATATTCGTAAGTAAATGTATTTCATTTTGACAAAAGTTCTAACGTATCCGTTTTCTTCAACATTGTGAATATTTTTCGCCTACGCAATTATTTTATTTTAAATTCGGTTGTCATTTGAAAAATGAATAATTACTTTATAAAAAAAACGACAGTAAAACACCCTCAAGAATTTCTCGTAATTTCAGCTTAGGACATTTTTGTTCTTTTTGGAAATTTACGACCACAAAATTTACGACCACAAAATGCAATGTCTGTAGAAAATTACGATTTTGATATATTACGAAATTCGTGTCTAAAGATGAAACTTAGAGATATACGTTTATTATATAGAATAGTTTTCTTTACTTCGTTAGAAAAAAAAATGTATTAACATCATTTCTTTACTTTTTTAAAAAAAACCTCAAACTTTAAACATTCTCTCAGACCACCAGTTGGTAACATTGTCTTGCTGTCGACCACGTATTGACTTTGAGGAAGACTTGAAAGAAAAGCGTTCCTTTGATTGATTAGCTAGTAAGCTCCTGGCTACTTATTTATAATTATTATTCTCACTGTAGTAAAGGGATTGAGAGGGCAAGCTAAGTGTGCCGAATATCCCGAGTAAAAGAGTTTCAAAAAATAAACGAAACGTAAAATGAATAAACATTAACATAATTGATGAATTTCGTATAGCGAAGGTAAGAATTGTTTGTTTTTGTTTTTTTAATTTCGTGCAAAGCTACACGAGGGCTATCTGCGCTAAGCCGTCCCTAATTAAGCAGTGTAAGACTAGAGGGAAGGCAGCTAGTCTTCACCACCCACCGCCAACACTTGGGCTACTCTTTTCCCA